TTAGAAAATATTTTGTCTTCTGTCAGCAAATTGCTACATGAGCTCCCGCAAGATCACTGGTATGATACTTGCTATACAAGTTCTTCCACAAACTAAAAGCTTATTCATTTATAGCATCCTGAAAATGAGCAGCTACGAGATGACACACCTGTTATCACCCCTCAAATCAAACTCCAGCTATTGTAATGTCATTAGTTTTATATCCTTTTGGATCTTTAAAATTAGGAGAGATGGCTCCCAGTGTAACTATACAAGTGCTAGGATATACATAATTTTAGAGAACTCCAACACGCTGCATGAGCTTTTCTTTCTTTCTAAAGTGCCATGTCTGTCAATCATCCTGTCATTCAGAATTAAAAGAGTGCTGTCAAAGGAAGAACACAGAACAATGGTATACGTTTTTGTGTTCAAACACAAGGCAGATCACTTCAGATTTCTCCTGAAGCAATTTTCAGGGAGCAATTTTCCTCATTTAATAACCATTTTAGCCTTACAGGTAGATATTTATCAGTTAATGATTTTTCCCCCAAAATCATTCACTTTTCATCCTTCTCATACCTTCCAGGGCAGTTAAGTAGATCATGACATGGACATTCTCAGGTTAGCCATTCTCAGAAGGGTGGGGCCACTGTTCCACTTTGTCTTATAGTCTTTTGTGAATGGTTTTGCTGTTTTTTAATGACTACCCAGGCTCCTTGAGAAGCTACCTACAGATACTCGTTTTAAATATTATAATTACTAATTTGAGGAAATAGAACATATGGCAGCATTACTGATCATTCTGTTAACTCAACATTGACTTGAAATTAATTACATCCACCTGTGAAACCACTGATCAGAAATTCCTCATACTATCAAATACAAGCATCCTAGCCTCTAAAACAAAGTCTGACTCAAATCGTACTTTCCTACTTTCCATTATAAAATTAGAGATGCATTACCAAAAGAGAGTTTCCTAACAGGCCGAGTTAAACACCTTGGATGAAGAAGAGAGTATGGTAACCAGCCCTGTGACAGCTGACTTGTTTGCTAATCATTTGAAAATTAGGTGGCCATTACAGCGGGTCACGAAAATTAGGTGGCCATTACAGCGGGTCACGTCCCTCAACCTCATGACCACAGGGCTGTCTGTCTCGTTAGTGAAGTTACCTAACTCTATGCTTTGGGACTTTTAGATGTTGCCCTCTCTCCGCTTTGATTTGGGCATTTCCATCCTTTAATGAGGAATTCTACTGCAGTGACACCGCTTCACCAGTGGGGGGGTCAACTCTCAAACTGCACTTCTACCAGAAAAGCCCCAGGTTAGAGCCTTCTGCTTATATAAAACATACTCATTACTGATCTTTGACTTCAAAATTCGCTATTAAATTCTATAATCATCTCCTGTTTCCCCCTCCGGCATAAACACATTATAGCACTTTGTATTTTAGGGTACAATTAGATACTTATGGTGAATATACGATATTTCATTCTTGGAAGAAAAGTTGTAGCTATTTACTTGACAGTGTGAAATTTCTCAAAGTGAAATGTATACTTACATAATATAGACAGACTCCTCATAAAGGAAATTTACAATATAAATAATTAACTTATAAATATAGATAAACCATAAATAAAGACTTCCCCATAATCCTCTTTTTAATAGTGACTGTATAGTCAACATAAACAAATATGTGGATTTATGGATACAAAGACACAGGAAAATAATTGAAAGAGATATTCCAAAATGCTAACGGTGCAATTACGAATGGCTTACATTATTGTTTATGTTTTTTGAATTTTAAAAGGTTTCTTTTTCAATAAATCAGAATTCTTATACTATTATGAAAAATAGGTGTAAGTATGTCTATGCATATGAATATATACCTTTTTACTGGGGTAAAATATACATAACATAAAATTTGCCATTTAACCATTTTAAACTATACAATTCAGTGGCATCAAGTACATTCACAATGTTGTATAACCATCACCACTATCCAGTTCCATGACTTTTTTTATCACCCCACATGGGAAACCCTGTACCCATTAGGCAGTCACTTTCCATTCACCTCCTCCCTCCATCCCTGGCAACCACTAATATGCTGTCAATCTCTATGGATTTTCCCATTCTGGATATTTAATATAAATAGAATTGCACAGTTATGTGGCCTTTTGTGTCTGGCTTCCTTCACTTAGCTAACGTTTTCAAGGTTCATTCAGGTTGTAGTATGTATCAGTATGCTTTTTTTCGGCTGAATAACATTCAGTTAAATGGATATACCACATTTTGTTTATCCCTTCATCTGTTGATAGACATTAGGGTTGTTTCTACCTTTTGGCTATTATGAATACTGCTGCTATGAACATTTGTGTACAAGTTTTTGTTCCAACATCTGTTTTCATTTATTTTGGGTCTATACAATACCTAGGAGTGGAATTGTACTGACATGTACTTTTTTAAAAATGTCTTTAAATTCTACTTTGGCATTCTGTGTTTAAAGTAGCAATGCTTTTTCAGAATTATTAAGGATAACCCTTATAACATAGTCCCACAATAAATGCCATTCCATTTTCAATCACTGACCGTGGTACAGTTTTAGTTTTTTTAAGCCCAAATCATATCCTTGTCCTTCAAATGGTAAATTTTACCCTTATTCTTTGGGAACAAATTTGTCTTATGTTAAAATACTTTAAATTATAAGAACTAAATGAAAAGGACAGTCTTTTCTAGCATAGCCAATCTAGCAGTACCTAATTCACTTTCAAATGGTTATATTTTAAAAATACAAAAATATATGTGTGTATGTTTTATTGGTACTTTAACAGGAAAGCTTCACTAAATAGACACCGATATTTTAGTTTTAAGGGATGCATTGAATATACAGTACCCAGTAGAAGTAATATAGACTCTTCTAGAAATTCAAACTGGCAAATGGTGACCAGAGAGGATGAATACGTCCTGAAAGAGTACACCATATCAATTCTTTAGTGTTTGACCTCCCACCCTCCCAGAAGAAAGCTGGTACATCTCATGAACAAAAAAGCCCAATAATATCAAGCTTAATTTTAGCTATGTACAGTGCTTGACATGGGCTACAGAAGATGATGGTGGACTCTGCTTACCCATAGCTACTTAACAACTGTTGGCTTCTCACATTTTTCCTTCCCCCAAAACCCATGCACACACACTTATGCAATATACATTCATGCACATGCACACACATGCACGCCCATGCACATACACCTAAACTATATATACTTCCAACTCGGTGGCTGCAATTAAGGGTAAAAATGTTTTTGTAGCTCGGTCATCATCTAGATATCAGGCTTTCCTCCGTGATCACTCCCACCTTCACCACTACACATATAGCACCTTGCAATTTAGAAATAAAATTCTAGCTAGAAAAGGAGTAGCCTTAAAGCAGTGAAAGAACCACCCAAACTGTAATAACTGTTAATAAGGGGATGATCTGGGATCATTTAAAAATAAAGTATTGGGGAATATTTCTCTACGATTGGCAGACTTCTCTTTTAAGAAAAATTCAAATAGGAAGAGTGAATTTATAGCAAACAATCAATTAGGAAAGTTTAATGTTACAAAAGGCTTTACACATTCCAAGTTTGCTAGGATCAACACTATCAATTAATTTTATCTTTCCATTATATAAAAAAATCTTAAGATGCTTTCATATTCTGATAGTGCTCCAAAAATCCCTACCACAAAATCCAGAAGAAACTCTTTCATCCTACTCTCTGCAGAATTTTTAAAATAGCTCTGGCATAACAACAATAATTTATATCACAGAGGTTTCTTTCCAAATCAAGATTAAGAATTTTATAAATGTCTTATTTTGTATGTGGAAAAACTGAATGGCAGTGGAGTAAGTTGTCCAAAGTCTCACAGGGAATCAGGGCAAAGCTAAAAATAAAACTCAAATCCAATTAACTATCAAGACAGTGATCTATCCACAAAGCCAAATATTTTAGTTATCACGGGGGATAGGCATTCTAAAAAGGCAGTAGAATTAAAACATGTTATTTCGTAATGATACAATCATGTCATTTATGAGTGTGAGTGTGTGCAAGAGATGCTATGTATATCACTGAATTCCCAATGCTTCATTCTTAAAAGATTATTTATTCTTATTCTTATTCACTTATTTCTTCATGCTTTGTGTATACTTCTTTTCTATGCTATTAGACTACAAGATGCTTTATTTGGGGGACCAAATTTTAGTACTTTTGTACATGTATGTGGCACAGTGCCTTAAATACAGTAGGCATTCAGTAATATGAATGTTGGTGTGTAAAAGTTCATAGACATACACTTAACTATCTCCTCCTAAACACCAAAGCAAATCATGGTGAGAATCTTTGAACTTCCTTAAAAATCCAACCCTACATGTTAAAGAATACAAATATGATCTATATAGACTACCCTGATAATGGCAATCCACAGGGACACCCAAGATATAACGTTAATATTATTTGTTAATGTGTTTAAGTGTATACATCAAGGTGTCCAAGAAGGAATTAGCATGGTTTAACTCTAATTAACCAACACCAGGTCTTTATCCACAAGCGGATTCCTCCAACTTGTGTATTATCCTAACTTGTTTGCTCCTTGTTTTCTTAGACATATCCTCTGACCAACTAACTGCTTTGTTGGCAGTTACACAAGAGTGCACTGGGATGGATGTCAGAGGAAAAATAAATTCCAATCAGTCCTTCTTACTACTTATTAACAACTTTTATGAGGTTCTCTGGTGAAGTAACACGATAAAAATGAAGAGCAAATTCAGTTTGGGGAATAAAACAATACATGGCACTTTGCCTTTTTTAAAAAAAACTCCTTCACTCATATCTCATTGATCAGTTTTGAGGTTTATTTATCTGTGTTACTCTCTAGTTTCACTATAATAGACAGTGGGCTGAAAGAGTTATTTTCTGGGCCTAATTTTAAAATATTACTCAGGAGTTACCTTCATTTTTCTTTTAAGAATTTTCCATAGTCTTACCTCCCAGTCCAAATAATCACAGACATCTTCAAAGTTAGTGAGCAGAGACACTGAGCAGAAGAGCCGAGGCAGCTCATCCCTTGTCATTGGGGGAAAACGGCTATCTTTAAGGGCACTGTTGAAAACAAAGCAAATATTAAAGCAATCACTAGATGTGAAAGTACCGAATTTCAAATGCACACAATCATATAAAAAAGGTAAGAAAAAAATGTCTGTAAGCTGCCAAAGGCGCCAATAAACTTCAAATGTATTCAAAAGCCCCAAAGATTTTAGGCGTCTTCATTTTTTTTTTCATTCAATGGATCGCATTTACTAGCCAATCCTGTGACCAATTCAATTGTAAAGAGTGAATGATCAATTACATTTCCTGTACAGTCATTTCCTGATGTACTTTCCTGTTACTTGTAGAATCTGAGAATGTTTTATTTTACTGTTGAGGAGAATAAAAACCAGACTAGTGGAAACTTGTGGGAAGAGTTCCGGATCTAGTGTTGGTGGAAAAAAATATACATATATGTGCATTTCATGTTGTAAAAAATATTCATACTATGTTGGCTAGTTACCATAGAACAGCACTCAAAGAATAAAAAAGAAAGATCAAAATTTCATTTTCTTCAAGTAAATCAAAGAAAATTAAAAGAATCATGCAAATAACAGACTAAAAATACAAGGATTTCAGGCCCCCTATAAAGGATAATTCAAGATATGACTCAAAAATTGTGAAACTACAGGAAATAAGGCTAATCTAGGAAATGAAAAGTATGATTAGAAGACCATTAATCACATCAATGGATTTCTGAGTACATCAACTCTGATTGGATCCTGTAATCAAAAGTAGTATACCACAGTGCCAAACTCTAGAAAAAACCCACTGTAAAGGGCAAAAACGTTGGAAGACCCTAAGTCTTCCTGCAACAGAAGAAAGAAAATACAGACACACACAGGCACTGTGTGTTCCTTTTACTTTTGAAAGAAACCACTTCCTGGTCAAGAAAAACAAACATCTCTCTGATTTGCACACTATATTAATGGCACTGCTGGCATTTGCATCATTGATCCTCAAATGTCTTTTATGTAACAGCTCGGCTTAGACTTGTTTTCATAGATTAATCCTTAGATGTTACAAATTTAGAGCCTACAAAGTTGCTTGGGTCACACATAACAAAGTTCTGAGGTCTTTGAAAATAATTTAATTCCTTTTTCAGGGCTTCCTCATTGCTGGATTTTCTTTTTCTTGTTTTTCCATCCTTTCATTTGAAACTCACCCACTGTATTGTACAAATATATACCTGTGTTTGTGAGTGTTTTCAATGCATTTTGGGACTCGTTCTATCCTGCTATACAAAGGAAAATGCTCACAGAAAGATAAAGAGATGTTGTATATGCAGTAAAATTGTTTTTTTTTCCCATCCAAGGAGCCAAGATTAACCAAGAAAATCTGTGATAAGTCATACTATGAGAACAGCATTTCACTGGTTTATAATTTAACAACATAAATTTCCTCTGGTCTGGCTTCTTTTATTTTCCTATTGGCAAATAAAGTTTTAAAAAGTGTTTTCAATGCCAAGATAAAGACGTGTGTGCATAAACTCCCACTTTCCCCCACTGACACACACACACATACTGGAGAGAAGTTCTAAAATACAGACTAGAAGAATCCATGCATAAAACCCAAAAAGCCTTCACACTTTGTTTTCCTGTTAAAAAGAAAGAAAAGCCTTCTACATTAGAATAATATAAAATGTGTTTTTATGGTTATATGTTTTTTATTGTGGTAAAGTATACATGACATAAAATTTACCATTTTAACCATTTTAAGTGTACAGTTATGTGGGATGAAGTACATTCACATTGTGCAACAATCACCACCATCCATCTCTAGAATGTTTTCATCTTGCCCAAGCGAAACACAATACCCATTAAATATACTAATGCTCCACCCCACCCCACCCCACCCCCATCTTTTCAGTCCCTGGCAAAAATGTAATTTAAATACACTTTGATAGTTTCAAGTAATTATAGTAATATAATCACTAACATTTTTTAGATATAACAGCTTTATTGAGATATAATTCACATACCACAAAATTCACCCTTTTAATGTACACAATTCAATTCACAGAGTTGTACAACTGTCACCATTACCCAATTTTAAAACATTTTCATCAAAAAGAAACCCCATACCCGTTAGCAGTCACTCCACATTTTCCCCTCCCCCCAGCTCCTGGAAACCAATAATCTACTTTCTATCTCTATGGAATTGCCGATTCTGGACATTTCACATAAGTAGAATCATACAATATGTGGCCTTTTGTGTCTGAATTCTTTTTGAGTGTTTCATCCATGTTGTAACATGTATCAATACTTCATCCTTTTTGTTGCCTAATAATATTCAATTATGTGGACACATTACATTTTGTTATCCATTTATCTTCTGATGGGCATTTGGCTTGTTTCCACTTTTTGGCTATTATGAATAATGCTGCAATATACACTCCAGTTTGAGTTCTGTGTGGGCATATGTTGTCATTTCTCTTGGGTAGATACCTAGGAGCGGAACTGCAAGGCCAATATGGTAATTCTATGTTTAACTTTTTAAGAACCAACACACTGTTTCTCACAGCTGCTGTACCACTCAACACTCCTACCAGCACTGTATGAGGGTTCTAATTTCCCCATATCCTCGCCAACACTTGTTGTCTGCCTTTTTAATTATAGTGCTAGCCCTCTTTAATGAAGAGCTTTTTTGTTTCTAGCTTATACATTAAAACAATACACATATTGAAGTTGCCATACAGTTAATTTTCCAACACTTCAAGGCAAGTTAGCATTTTGTTTACTTTATTTCCTAGCAAACCAATGAAAGGTAATCTGTAGCTCAGTGCAATTCAAACTATTTCAAATCAATGACATTTTCTAGTACCTAAAATGTACTAAGGATCAGGCTAACAAGCTTTCCTCGTGATACAAAGCCCGTGGCTCAATCATTCTGGGTTAAATAAAAAAGCAAAAAATGTTTAGAACAACGAGTAAGTGGGAGAATGACATATGGCTAACAAGAGAAGCTGACAATCATGCATCACCATACCAAGACTCGAACATATTCATTCCAGAACTCTGAAACAGTGAAGGTACATTATTCATGATGGAAACAGTCTGATTTTACAGAGACCCTCACTCAAACAAGACTTTTAATTCTTGTGTCAACTCCAAGTAACTTTGAAAATTCCCCCAAAGTAGGAAGCCTTCAGTATCTCTAAACACAAATTCCTAGGGAAAAGAGCTAGCAATGAAAGCCTAGCAAGGATTTAAGGGATTATAAAAAAAGATGAAAACTGCAGCTGGAGACTGACCTCGGAACTGCTGGACTGGTGTGGATAGGTGATAAACAAGAGGATTCAGCTTCCCCCAACCCTACTCTCTTTAGTATACAGAACATGTAGTGTGGAAGGTGAGCCTCTAGAGAGGGTATGCTGTCTGGAGTTGCACAGCGACTTACTTGAGGCGACCCAGCTAGTTAGTGACACAGGTGGGGATAAAACCCAGATTCTTGACTCAAGTCCAAAATTCTTTCTAGTATTTACATTTTACTTGACACCTTTGAATGGATTATTTTTTGACTTGAAAATGAAATGCTTGCCTTACTTGGCAATTCTGGTCTCATATCTGCAGTGCCTCTGCCTAAAGAAGATAAATAATAATTTAATAGCATTCATTAGTAGCCAAAGTGTAAACAGAGCTAGACTTTCTGTCCACTGGAAATCTGCAGGAGCAAAAAGCATTTTAAAACATTAATATTGTCGTCCATGGGGCCGGCCGAGTGGCTCAGTTGGTTAAGAGCTCGCTCAAGAGTGCGAGCTCTGAGCAACAGCAGTTCGATGCTCGGCCTGAGCTGAGCTGCCGCTAAGCTGCCAATAGGTAGCAGGATGGCTCAGCTAAAATATAGTCGGCCATGGAAAGCATTTTATGCCAAAGTAGTGTCTGCCAATTTAAATTCTAGGCCAGCGGTTCTCAACCTTGCTAATGCCGTGACCCCTTAATACAGTTCCTCATGTTGTGGTGACCCCCAACCATAAAATTATTTTCGTTGCTACTCTAGAACTGTAATTTTGCTACTGTTATGAATCGTAATGTAAATATCTTTTTGTTTTCCGATGGTCTTAGGCGACCCCTGTGAAAGGGTCGTTCGACCCCCAAAGGGGTCGCAACCCACAGGTTGAGAACCGCAGTTCTAGGCAGTCTGAGGAACTGACAAACAATGAGATCCTGTAGTAAATTCATATGAAGTTCTCTTTGCTACAACAGAAAGCCATTTTCCAATGGTTGAATGTTGCTAGGGGAAAAAAAACCACTTATGTACAAAACCAGCCACTGCTCTATCACTCATATGATGGCTAGGCAAGGTTTAAACAACAGTTTAATTCACATAACAAATTCAAATATATTCAATTCAAACTGGCACTTTACAAGAATATATTTCCCCTAATTAAGAAGCAGCATAAACATCTGTCAAAGTTAATATCTAATGTTAAATAGCACTTTAATGAAAATTAACATTTTTTACAAGGAATTCAGAGTTTAGCTTATCAAAGAATCAAGGGGTTTGAGAAAAGTGCCTGGAAATTACGAGGAAAAAAAAAACAGCCGAAAAGAGACAAAGCCTTGGATATTACAAGGCTCATCATAAACAACACAGCATACAATAGAAATGATTTAAGTGAATCTAGCTAGCTAGCCATTCACTCATTCATTCATTCCTTCGCTCTCTAAAACATCAGTGACCTTAATTAGTTAACCATTGGAAAGTTACCAAACTGAGAAGGGCTTCATATTACAGGCAATCATTTTTCAGGACAAGGAAGTAATTAAAACCAAAATGAAAAAATCCCTGTTTGGATAGGTGAAGAAAAGCAAATCAAGCATACATCAGTCTAAAATTAAAAATAGTTTTTTCACGAAGGGGTTCAATCGTCTAGAAATGTTGCCATTCCTCATCAGGGCTTCTGGTAGCAGAATGGACATGTGGCACATCTGAACTCCAGAAACTTAGACTAATAGAATTATCCATAACCTTTCTTTCACATTAAATAACAATGTTAGCTTCCCCGTTATTAG